CGGCGCGTCTGCGCAGCGGCGGCGTCCCCTTGCGCTGGGGCCGCCGCGCCGCGAACAGCCGTGCGCTCTTGCTGCGCCCTCCTTGCTCGTCGGGCGCGCGCCTGCCGCCGCCCCACCCTGCTCGCGTGGCTCTGCCGCCCCCATCTTTTGCCCCGACACCCACAGGTGGCCGAGGGCCGCAAGCCCCAGGCCCTTGCGGACTGCCTGTCAGTCCACGGCGCCGGCGGCAAGTCCATTGTGTTCACGCGCACCAAGGCGGGCGCCGACGAGATCGCGGCGGTGATCAGCCAGCAGCAGCTGTGCGAGGCGCTGCACGGGGACATCCCGCAGGCGCAGCGCGAGAAGACGCTGCAGCGGTTCAGGGACGGCCTCTTCACAGTGCTGGTGGGTGGGCGCTCCCCGGGGAGGGGGGCCGGGCGGTGCTGGAGCGTGGGCACTCGGAAGGGAAGAGTCCTCACATACGGGGAAGAGGAAGGGAAGGGTTCTCATGGCGAAAGACAGGAAAGCATGCGAAAAAGGAGGTTTCAAACGAATTATTCAAGGGAAGGGCAGGCCGTGACACGCCTGGGAGGTTTGCGGTCCTGGGTCGCTGTGGCGGGGCCGTGCCCGCGTCGGGCGCGCGGCCGCTTGAGCGGCCGCGCTGACGTGGCGGCTGCGTTCCACTTTTTGACAGGTGGCGACCGACGTGGCGGCGCGCGGCCTGGACATCCCCAACGTCGATCTGGTGGTGCATTACGACATCCCCCAGGTGGGCAGATCACGTGCACCCGTTCCCCCCCCTCCGGGCCCAGCGCCGCACTTGTCGCCCGCGTCCCCCGCCCCGCGGACGCGCTCTGCTCGGCGGCCCCGCGCCTCCGGGCCTGCCCGCGCGGCTCCTTCGTGGCCAACCCTACATTGTCTGACCCCTCACCTTACCTCATCCTCACTTCCCCTTCCCCTTCCCCCCAAAAAGGACAATGAGAGCTTCCTCCACCGCAGCGGCCGCACCGGGCGCGCGGGCAACAAGGGGGCCACCGTCCTGATGCACTCTGACCGCGAGGCCCTCGCAGTGGGGACCCTGCTCAAGCAGGTGTGACCTCGGCCAGGCCTTTAATTCTGCCGCGTGCAGGGCGCCGGAGGGGCGATAAGACTGCTGCCCCCTCCTGATGCGGCGCTCCGGCGGGCTGCCGCCGCGGGCGCCGCCCGGTGCCCCGGCCCCGCAGGCCGTTGCTGCGCCCCCCCCCCCAAAGGGGGGCCCACCACCCGCCTGGCACGCTCGCATTGCACCCTCGAGGCGCCCCAGCCCTCAAATCAACCTCATCACTTTACGACCCCAAACCCCGGTTCCTCAACCCTAACATCCAAACCTCTGATGTGTCCCCTGATTTTTCCAGGTCAAGGCTACCACGGGCACCGTGGTCGGCACCCCAGAGCCCGCGGAGGTTATGACGGCAGCTTCCCGCAGCGTCCTCACACGCCTGGACAAGGTTGAGGGCGGCGTCATCGACTTTTTCGTGCCGGCTGCCGAGAAGCTGCTGTCCGCCGGCCAGCCCAGCCGTGTGCTCGCCGCCGCTCTCGCAGCGATGAGCGGCTTCAAGAACGTGCCGCAGCCGCGGAGCCTGCTGACCGGCGAGAGCGGCCGCGCGACGCTGCGGATGCTGTGCGCGCCGGGGCGGGTGGATGGGTACCAATCCGTCGCCAAGATGCTGCAAAAGGTGGGCGCCGCCTGCGTTTTCGGATGGGTGTGCGCGTGCGCATGTGCCGCGGGGCCGTGGGCGCTCGCCAGCCCTGCGTGCGAGGGTGGATGCGGGTGGCTGCGAGCATGGGCGCGTCGCACGCACCAACACCGCCCGGAGTCGTTCCTTGCACCGAGGGTGCGCCACGCCGCTCAAGCCCGACCGCATGTTTTCCCCCTGCTCCACCTCGGGGCCCTTCCCGCCCTTTTGCAGATCACCGAGCGCGCCGGCGTGAACTTCTCGCCCGACGACATCGGCCGCGTCCGCGTCGTCGCCGACGCCGAGCGCGGCCTGGAGGGCGCCGCGTTTGACGTCACCGCCGCGGTGGCGGCCCGCCTGACCGACCCGCGCTGCGTCGCGGCGGCGGAGCAGCAGGGCGTGGTGTTGGACAAGCCGTCGACGCTGCCATTGGATATTTCTGAGA